GATCAATTGCCATTTATTGGTTTGATAAGTTACCTATTATTTCTGATCCTCCATTTTCTCATCTATAAAATAGTGGTGATATCATAGTATTCACCTCATATGATTATTGTGACAATTAAATGAGATGTTGCATGTAAAACATTTACAGAGACTGGCATAGAGTTGATTAAGCACTGATCAATTGTTGACTATTATTCTTATTTTGGGTGTGGTCTGGTGGTTCACCTGAGGTTTGAGAGCTTATTACAGAAAGATAAATTTAAATGTTAACATTGTTCTTCTTGGGTGCACCCATTCAGTCATTTGTTGATTCATTTATTCAATATATATATATTAGTATATAAAATACCTAAAAAATATTGAGCATTCTATACATTCTAGGTACTATTTTGCATTTGGGAATTAATCAGTGAAATAACATGCAAGATTCCTGCCACATAGGTTCACACTTGAATGAGAGCAATTAGAATCAGTCAAGAGGGCCAGTGGGGATAGAGAGGGACACTGGAACACATTTACACTTGAGGGGCAAGTAAAGAAAAAGAATCCAGAAAGTGCTAGAGAGAAAGGAGTAAAATCAGAAGACATATGTGCCATGTACACCAAGGGAAGAGAGTCAGGAAGAAAAGAAGCCAAACAATTTTGGATGTTTTAGATAATTCAAATAAGAAGACAGGAAAATCCATGAGTTTGATGGCAAGGAATTAATTGGAGACATTGAGAAGAGCAGAATATAGTGAGTTTAGAAATAAAGAGGTAGTGGTAAGGATATGAAAGCAGTGAATTTTAGCTCAGAATGAAAAGACAGCATTTAGGGAAAGGAGCTAAAGAAAGAGAGACGATAATGCTACAAGAGGAAACACAGTAGAGCAGACAGGAGTGAACATAGATGAAGAAGACAGGAGGGACAGAAAGAAGCCCAGGACAAGAGAAAGCTCTGAGGTAAGAAACAAAGATGAGATTGGAGGTAGATCACAAGCTGTTTAGAGAATTCAAGCTTGGTGCCCTTTTACATTCTCAGTGAAACTGCAGGTGAAGTCATCTGCTAGGAGTTTGAGAGCAATGCTGGGTGCTTGACTAAGAGGAGTGAGTTAGAAACAGCTATCAAGGACAAGTGGAAGGGAAGATGATTAAAGATGAAGAAAAAAAAACCTGTAGAACTATGCTAGGATCCCATAGAAGATTGAAAATTCACAGGGCTAGAAGTAGCTTTTTTTTATATCTCAACTTTCTAATCCAGAAGACTCAAGCCTGTACATACCATTGCATCAGACATCTACAGCAAGGTTATCTACCTACATCCTACAGGCTAACTAAAGGGCACCAGAAGCTGATTTTGTATTCAAGGACACCTCTAGGGATGCTGAAGTTCATAGGGGCTGCCCCACAGGCCTTAGCATCCCCTGGTGCTTCAACTTCTGTTTCTGCTCCCTGTTCCCAGTCTTCAGAGGAGCTGCAAGGGCCCCCAATCTGCCTGGATAAACATGAGGCTCTCCCATGAAAGGCCATCCTGCCTGTGTTGGACACTAGAATTAGAGGCTATTCAGGCTTCTCTGAAACACAATTAAGGCCAATATTCTCTTTAGTAACCCTAGGTAACCTCTGAGAGAAAGCTGAAGGTTGGCAGTTTACTTACTGAGCCCCAGAAGATTCTCTGTAGCCACAGAGATAGGCAGGGTGAAGGCTGGTTCTGTCTGCTGTCAAGTTAGGATGGTTCCAGAAGCAAAATGTAATCAGAGAAATCCTTTACCTGGAAGTACTCAGTTTGGGGTTCATGAAGTAATTCCTGGCCATACTTAGAGGTGGGGTTAGGAAAAGTCCCCAAAAAATCAGCTGACCCAACTTCAGTTCTGTTGCCTAAGCAAAACTGACTCTACAAGTGGCTCCCTGATAGAGGATAGAGCTGAGAGCCTTAACCCTACCCACTGCCACACTGCACCTCAGATCCTTGGGACTAGTGAAGAAAAGCTTATCTAACCAGTGGAGTCTGAAAGACCTTGGCAATTTCATTAGCTTATATTATATAGGTTATTCAGGAAAGTCCTCTTTGATAAGGTGACATTGGAACAGCGATCTGGAGAAGGTGAGGGAAGGAATCATGCAGATATCTGGGGAAAGAGTTGTTCAGGCTGAAAGAATAACAAGTGCAAAAACAGAGTCTGAAACATTCCTTGAATATTGGAAGAAATAGCAAGGAGGCCATTGTGATTGCGTACGGCAGTCAAGTAGAGTGGTAGGCTATGAGATCCGAAATATATAAACAGGTAGGTGGAGGTGGGATAAAGTGAAATAGATTGTAGACTACTATAGACCATAGTTAAGAACTTTGGCTTTTATTCTGAATAAGAAGCCAGTCAGTAGAATGGTTTGGAAAAACATGGACTGATACACATTTTCAAAGGATCACTAAGACTGCTATGCTGAGAATTGACTGGAGTAGGGTAAACACAAGAGCAAGGAGAACCATTGGAGTCTATGGCAATAATTAAGGAGATGTGTAATGGTGGCTCACACCAGAGTAGTTTGCCGTGAAGGTGCTAAGAAGTTGTGGGATTCAGAGTATATCATAAAGGCAGAGTTAATCAGGCATACTGATGGGTTGGATGTAAGATGTTAAAAAAAGAAGAGGTGAGTATGATTCCAATGTTTTTGGCCTCATAGGTTGTTATGAGAATGAAATGAATTAATCCATGTAAAACATTTGAACAATGCCTGTCAAGTGCTCAGTGAGGGTCACCTACTATCATATTATTATTGAACAAGTTATGGTGGAGGGCAGTAGCTTTATGTTTGCTGCTTATAGTTATTTTCCAAAAAAAAATCTGGCAGCAGCTTAAGAAATATGAGGTTTCCCAGGTACCTTTATCTTCATGCATTTTCAGGCAGAATCACAGGGAGACTCTTCATCTGTAAAATGGGGATAGTAATCTTTACCTCATAGGACTGTTGAAAACTATAACAGTGTTTGTGGATGGTTTACAGATGCTCGGTAAATGTTATTCTTGCCCACCTGCTAGACCCTTACGACAGAAAGTATGGTATGTGGCTCAGCAGCATCAGTTTCACCTGGGAACTTTGTGAGAAAATTAGAATCTTGGTCTTCCCACCAATGACTAAATCAGAATTTGTGTTTTAACAGGATCTCTGGGTGACTTGTGTGCACATTAACATGTGATAAGCACTGCTCTAGAGTTTCATGGTTATCTAGTTTAACAATCTCTTCAAGTTACACACATGCAGAAAGGCAGACTAGAGATAGGAGATTTACCTGATTTTACACATAGAGTTTGTATCACCAAGACTCCTAAATTTCAAGCTAAGGTTCTTTCTACTACCCTGTAGTTTCAGGACTGTATGTAACTCAGCTTCTCTGGGTGACACAAAATGAAGAAAAAGCAAATGGTCCTTCTTCTAAGAACAGGCAGAATTAAGAAGTACATAGGGTAGCTGTTTTCATTTTAATCTCACGGATGATATCAAGGGACCTAAAATGTGTATATATCTATATTTAATAAACACTTGTATGCAATTATGTTTCAGAAATTGCTCTAATCTCCTTATGCATATTGATACTGTTCTGTATATTAACTCATATAATCCTCAAAATAATCCTATGAGAGAAGGAGCATTATTGTCCCCATTTTACAGAAGAGAACCCTGAGCAACCGAGTGGTTAAGTAACTTGCCTACGGTTACATAGCTAGTAAGGGGGAGATCTAGGATTCCAACTCAGGCAGTTTTTCCTCATTCTAGTCCTGAGCCCACAGTAGCAGTCTAAGTAGCCACATTCTTGTTTCAGCTCTAACCAGGGGATAGATATGGAGTTCATTTAGGATTTTTCCAACATCAGCTCTGGTCCTATTCAGCCTTTTTTCCATGAAAGGCTTTTCAGTCCCTGTATTGGGACTTCACCCTGAACTCCTGGCATACAGCTTCTGCCCAGACCAGGAAGGGTACCTCAGAGACTGATAATAACACATTGCTTGGTCCCCTTCTCCCATACTTTGGTTAAAGCTTTTTTTTTTTTTTTCCTCACTCTTCAGTGACGTTTTCTCATTCTCATCTTTTAATCCCAAACTATTGAAGAGCATTTGTCTTCTCTGGCTGTATATTATCTTTTAACTACTTCTTCCTGCCCTCCACCATTGCCCTTTTATCCTGTACCTCATAATTTGGCCTTTCATTCTATACTGTGTGCTGTTCTCTGACTTTGCAGTCTGTTTTATCTCCCCAACTTCTCTACAAGTTCTTCAAGGTAAGGGACTAGTAATATTCCAGAACTTTCACTGCTTCCTCTGAGATAAGATTCTCAAACTTCCAAAGTGTCATTACTGGAAGGGCCCTTAGAGACTGTGTAGTCCAACCCCTTAATTGTGCAGAGACCTAGGGGTCCAGAGATGAAGATGGGGTGGATCAAAATAAGAGCTGAATTTAGCATCCAGTTTTCCTTCATTTTAAATAGTATTTTCCCCGTTTCATGTCTCCTCTCCTTCTCCTGTCAAAATCCTACCTACCCTTCTGAACTAAGGGGTATAAAAAAAAGGCAGAGCCACAGTTGCGGTATGTGTTCTATGTGTTTGAAATTTTTTTACTTTTCTGCACTAATTCTCTGTCAAACTCCAGGCCTTCTAACTCATGCACAAACTTTGACAAGCTGAGCTGCATTCAGCTGTGAAAGTCACGAGAAAAGGAATCTGCACGGTGCCTTGACAACTTGACCCTTCCTCCATACCCACAGACTGGGATGGACCTAAGCTTTTGGCCTTCCGCCCTCTAGCTCCCCCCGCCCCCACCCCCTTCAGTCCCAGGAGCTTTGCAGCTCCTATCTTACTAGTGGCTTGATCACTGTTTACCCTCGCTGGGTTCCTCTCAGGGGCGGGATTTCTTTATGTAGCCACGCCTAGACACTCCAGTAGTCTAATCAGAGCTCCAGGAACCTCACGGGGCGGGGGAAGTAGGCTGATCAAGAAAGGAACGGAGTATGGGTTTGGGTTGTTGTTGTTACACGTGGGTGTGAAATGAGTGGAGCGGAACTTTGCAACGGATTTCCTCAACAGTGAGTGCGGTATGCAGACTAGGGGCTGAGGGATGGAAGCTGAGGGGGAGGGCAGCGTGGTGAGATGTCTGCTCTGCGCTGAGTTGTTTGTTCAGGAATCCCATTGTTCTGTCAAGATTCATCTGTTACAAGGTAAGTGTGTGGGAACACCCTCTGGTGTGGCAAGGTGGCTGGGACCTGCGGCACCTAAAAGTGAAGTACAGAATCTGGTCAGGATGACCCTGCTATGGTGCTGCAAAGTCAGAACGGTTGGGAAGCCCCCCCCCCCCCGCCCATCTGTCAATTCATCCATTTGTGTCCAGAAAGAGCTGTCTGAAGTACCTGGGACTCAGGATGATATCCCTAGATTCTTGGAAAGCCAGTTCCTGCCTGTGTAGGCACTTACTGGACTCTGATGGCCGCTGGGAACATGCCCGGGCAGGTCCCACCGCCTTGAGCATCTGGGGTTGGGAGATAAAGAACAGGAGATCAGGGGGAGGAGGGGGCGGATCAGACACGGAACAGAACTGCTGGCCTACCCAAGTGGCCCCTGGGCAAGTCAGAGCTTGTGTAAAGAGCACACTGACTTTGTTTGGGGACTTTCAGTCTATTCCTCCCCCCTCCCCGTGTTTCACTTGATCTTTTGCTCCTGGAAGCTGAGCCCAGGGCAGTGATATTTTGATCCTGCCTCACCCCAAACACTGGCCAAGGCCCTGGCAGCTGCAAGAACTGGGGGGCAAGAAGAGACCGGCCAGAGCTGGTGCTGGGAAAACAGACTGCAGGGTTTGATTTGAACAGGTATTGGCAGCATTGGCCAATGTCATGCAGGGTGACTGAGCCAGGAAAGTGTGAAGCATCTCCCTTAGATAGCTCCCCTGTCCCCTCCCCCACCGCAACAACCTTCAGTTCAACTTAACAGACTCACTGAGTACCTACTCTGTGCCACCATGTGTAAGACAGAAAGATATCTAAGTTGTGCCCACTGAAGCCTGACAGTCTTATCATGGGTATAAGAACACAGATATAAATTACACTTAAAAGATTCAGTCAAAATGCTCTAAAGTTGCCAAGTAAGCATCATATCAAGTTGAACCAGACAAAATCAGAAAAGGTTTTTTTTTTGTTTTTGAAATTGTAACACTTTCAGTGCTCCAGAGCCAGACTACATGGGTTCAGGTCCCATTTCCACCATTGATTAACTTGTGTTGCCATAGACAATTACTTCTCCCTCTCTGAACTTCTGTTAACTCCAGGCTAAAATGAATAATAATAGCACCTATCTCATCAGGTTGTTGTGAGGATTAAATGAGATGATCCATGTAAAATACTTGCACATGCATAGCACAGTGACTGGCCCAAAATACGCACTCGATAAATGTTAACTATTATTAAGATAGACCACAAAACACAGATAAGATTTCAACAGGTGGAAATAGGAGAGAAGGCAGAGAAAGAAACAGGAACAACTGCTTACAAGCAAGGAAGCTCAGGACAAGTGAAAAGAACACCAGCTGAGCTGGATTTTAGAGTACAATTGGGGGAAGAAAGTGGAAGTAAAAGTTGCCATGGTAGATTGTTGGTAAACCACAAAAAATTTAGGATGCTAGAGATTCGATTTTATTTGTCAGAAAATGGAAAACTATCGAAGGTTTCTAAGCTAAAGAAAAAGTCAGATCTGTGATTGAGAAAGAATAATTTGGCAAATGTGGGCCAGCCAGATTGGAATGGGAAAGCACAAGAGGTGAATATACCAGTTGCAGAGAGGGTACAAGGCCTGGAACTGAGGTGGTGGCTATGGGAATAAAAAGAAGGCAGTGCATTTATTTTTATTTATTTATTTTTTTTACACTTTTTTTTTGAGTTGGTGTCTCACTCTGTTGCCCAGACTGTAGTGCAGTGGCCGCTCCTGGCCACCTCAGCCTCGACCTGCTGGGCTCTGGAGATCCTTCCGCCTCAACCTTCCACGTAACTGGAACTACAGGCACGCGCTACCACGCCCGGTTAATTTTTTGATTTATTGTAAAGATGAGGTCTCGCCTGCCCAGGCGGGTCTCGAACCCGTGGGCTCAGGCAATCCACTCACCTCAGCCTCCCAAAGCGCGGGATTACAGGCTGAGCCACCGAGCCCGGTGGCAATGCATTTAAAAAGCATCACAAAAGTTGAATCTGCAGAACTTATGTCACACAAAGACTGAGGCACTACTGCATTTATTGTTCTTCCTTACAAGTAGTAAGCCCAATGAGAAATGGTGAACTTCTTCGAGCCTCAGTTTTCTACCTTGAAAAAAGAGAGAATAGTAGTCATATTGTAGTCTTGTTGGGAGGATTAAAATAAATAATCCCTGTAAAAGATCTGGTATAGTGCCTGACATGTAGTAGAATTTAATAATTTTCTTTTTATCCCAATTGACTAAAATTGATAAAAAATATTTTTACCAGTTTCTGCTTAAACACTTATAGAGGGAGGAGCCTTACTGCTTTTCTGAGAGAGGAAACCCTTGCCTGTTAAAGGTTCTTTCTTTTGTTAAGATGAACTTAAATTTTCCTGTATCTTGCGCCCAAATGTCCTAGTAATTCTCTCTGGGGCCACTCAGAGCAGTCTGATCTTCTTCCATGATAGTTTTTCAGAGATTCGATGACCAGAGACCAGCTCCCCATTCATCTTCTGTTCCTATGCCAAACAGCTTAGCTAATTCTACAATTTTTAATATGGCATGGTATTCTGTCCAATATGACTTAGATTTTGAACTACATAAATTGGAGAACACTGCAAAAGGAATACGATTGGTAAATGTGACAAATTTCTTTGTAATTCATTATTTTAAAAATTATTTTCCCCTGTGTGCCAAGTACTTTCAAATCTGTCCTCCCACTGACTCTTTACCCCAACTGAGAAAAGTGCAGATTTCCTTGTTTTAATTGTACAGGTGGACAAACAGGCCCAAAGAAAATGAAACTTGCCAGAGATTGTTTAGTTAATAAGTACCTGAGCCAGAACTGGAAGCCAGATTGTGTTTTTTCATTTTCTAGAGCTGTTTGGGTTTAAGATGATGACTGGGCAATTAGATCAATTCTGGCACTAAACAAGAATGCAAGAGGAGGTGGAACCTTCAATTGCCTTTCATCAGTTATGTCTTCTTTGAAAGAATTCTTCTCTTTAGATGTCTTCTTTACCTGCTCCACTTGACTGTCTCTTGCAGAGAGTGAGACATCTTTTGGAACCATTCCTCAGTGCTAAAACATGATATTGAAGCAGAAGCTGTTTTCACTGCTTTGTTTCTAGAGACTGGCTCTACCTTTGTATTCTCTCCTTGGGAGCATAACGGGAAAGGGTGTTGATCAGTTTCACCATCAGTCTGTAACAAAAGAATACTATTGTTTTGTGCACATAGAAGATATGAGGATGACCTATGTCTGCCTTTGATTAGAGTTAACTGTATATATTTTCTGTGTTTCCCACCAGGCATAGTCTCTAAAAGTGGAGAACATGCTTTATCACTTCTGGTTTTCCTCTTGCCACTAAGTTCTAATAGAATGCCTAGCATAGAAGATACTTGTCAAGTGGTTTTTGGGTGACCAGAAATCCATCCTACTTATCCTGGGATGACAACAATTGTGATATTCCCTCAAATTATCCAAAAGACATCATGACATTCTCAAAAATAAATGAACAAACATGCAATATATGGTAGAATCAAACAGTAAAATGTCCTACTTTCAGGAGGTTGTTAGTCACCATCATAGATAAGCCAAAAAGAGTGACCACTGCTACTTCTCTTCGATGAGCCACCTCTCCTTGCCCACCCTTTGAAATTGTTCCTGTTGAGGGTAAAATGAGCAGATATTGGGTTGTAGGGCTTAGGAAAAAAGAAGCTGGAACCTTGGTAATATAGACAATGAGTAATCAGTCCTAAAGCTAGGCCCTTTGCTCTCTTTATATATGGAAAATAGACAAGCTACTGGGCCTTTAGTATGGAGACTTGGATTATAGTTCTAGCTCTACCACTGACTATTTTCTGAGACTCAGTTTCCTCAACTGGATATTCAGGGAATGAGTTTAAGTTGTTTTGAAGAAGCCTTTTGGGATTTCATGATTTTATGTTGCCAATTATCTGATAGTTTAATGTTTAACCAGTTAGCAAAGAGGAGAAAAAAATAAATCATAATGGAATGTGCTGTCTTGTGAGTACTGAGATGCCTGTTATGAAAGGAATTCAAGTAGAACTGGATGGTATTTCTTTCCTGGGCAACAAGTAGCTGGGATTAAAATAAACTTTAAACTCCCTTTTGACTAAGATTGTCAGAGTCTGAAAATGGTTTCACAGAATGTGCATTTACATATAAGATCATAGGCTTCTTGTTACCAGTTTTACCTTTCCTCCACAACCCCACAAAGTCCTTAATCTTTCTCTTTTGGGGGGAGCATCCTACAAAAAAAGAAGAAGAAAAAAAACAAGAAATATTTTGGCAGTAGTATATCATCCTGTACAGGTAGGCCTCATTCTGTAGGCCTCATTCTATTTCCCCAGTCTTTTTGTAAGAATATGGGCCTGGGTTGTGTTTGAAAATGCCCACTGCTTTGTATCCCTGTGCTTTGTATTACATGGACTGTGCAGAAAAGACAGAATACTTGATTGCTATGAAAAAAACAGGACTGTTCTTATTGACATCTTCAGAAAGACACAGCTATTCCAGATTGCATGATAAATTTTAACAGAATGGAGAGAATGTGGGGCAAGACCAGCAAACATGAATAGAACTCAGAAATGGAAGCATTTGACTGTGTTTTATCAACTTCCCAGCCCTGCAAAGAAATCATACCATGAATTCAATTTCAAACTGGGACCACATAGCCGAAAACTTTCTTGAGAAGTGAACCTCTTCATTCCCCACTCCCAGTACTGATAGTGGGATAACTAATTTTTATGATACCATAATTTTATGGCATCTTGTGGTGGTCGATACACAAATAAGTGATTCACTTTCGCTAGGGCAACAGCAGAACAAAGTAAAGGCTTTGG